AACAACGTAAAACTGTAGGGCGTTTGCGTGTCAACATTAAGCCGCACACCGAGAAGTAAGCTTAAACATTTTGCTGTAACTTTCCATTCGGAAAGCCAAGATATTCAGACTCATCAAAAAGCGTTTTACCTAAATACATAGAAGATTAAGAAATAAATCGTTCCAAATTTTTTATACGCTATTTTATTAATTTCGTCAGCAGTGTTTTTCGCACGAATTCGATATTCTGTGCAGTTTCATCCCGCATAGAAGGAAACTTCACTTGGAAGTTGTTCTTGGAAGCAGCATCGTGAAGTGAATTGTAGAAACCGCCTGATTGTTCCCACGGAAGATGGTGATTGCGGATGTGACCGCTTCGTTATAGAGGCTGCTCAGATGTCCGGCAATGCCTCGGGGTGCAGTGAGTTGTATATGTGTTCTTGAAAATGTAGAATGGAATCTTTCGCCCGGTTAAGTTGAAGCGTAGGCGGAAATAAAAGTAAGTTATGGCAATGAAAGTGCTATGCAATGGAGATTTTTCCTTTGTTGATGGCTATGGCCGCGAAGCTCGAAACTTTTTGCCTTAATTACGGCCACAGAGGCCTTTTACTCCTTTTGATCTTTGAGATGGTGAATATTTGTGACAGCTTGTTCGCCAACTTTGGGTATTCCCTTTATAATCCGTTTCGTTTTTTTTTGTTCCCCACTCTAATGTGATGCTCTCGACCCGTGTAGTACTTTTTTCAAAGTTTTGAGAGTTTAAGATTTCCATATCCATCCCTTAGATCTTTTGCGGCTAACTAGGTATCACTCTCGCATCCCAACTTGCTTGATTAAAGAAATGCGATGAAATGAACCCTAACTAGATGATAACAACCTAATTTTCAAAAATAAAACCCAGTACATAGAAGCAATTCTCGAAAGCAAACCTTTCAGCAATGAAAACATACATGGGCGTAGCCAGGTAGGGGCAGGGGGCTGCTAAGATAAGAGTTCACACGACTGCAGGATTCAGGCCTTAACAAGGCCAGAGTAAGGCGGCTGGGAGCTGAAGCTCGTTGTCTGCGATTCATAGGGCGGACTTCTATCCCCCGATAACTCTCCTTTCCACTGTTGTCATTACATATGAGACCCTGTTGCTCCCGTACTTCACGTGTCATCTGACCTCAGAGAATCATCAGCATGGCTTCCGTAAAATGAGCAACACCACCACCCCACTCGACGTTCCCACGACAGTCGGGTCTACGTAACCGGAACGACGCAGATTTATATCTGGCCAAGGACTGTCCCTCCTGCAACACTCCCCGAAAGCCCTATGGGGAACTTGTATGCTGCTACAACAGCAAAAACAACGCCATAGACGCGCAGATAACTCGTGGCGAAACCACCCTGTGTGAGAACGTTCCTAATAGCGTTGGACACCGTGTGCCATTCTTCGCTGCTAGAAGGCACTGACACTTCCTCTTTCCCACAGGGGATTATATTTTTTTCGGCTGGATTCCCCGGCTTTAATTGTGGCACCACCCTCCCCGATTTCCATATATTTGGAATTGTGAGGGTGGCCAACAACAAATTGAGGACCTTGGTGGAATATGCTACTCCCCCAAGCCGGACCGATTTTTTTCAGCATCAGCATGCATATTTCGTTGGCACCAATAGCTTTGGAGGCTTTTGCTTTCCCGATGACCAAGCAGCAGCCCTTGGTCGGGGAAAGACCCCGATTCATTCCGGCTGTCCTGGGAATGCGAGGGGTGGCCGTTGTTGCATAATGGCCTAGGCTTATGTGCAAAGGATGCAAAGAAGAGCAGAACTATGTAAAAGTGAGACCCTTGCTGACGGCGTTGGGCATGACTGCTTTAAAGCGGTGATGGGCACCGCCTTGCCCGCGGGCAAAGCTCTTTTAAGCTTTCTATACATTTTGTATAGTCGCGTCCAGAGTACAAGCTCTCTCAGCCCAACGCTGCTTTAAAGTAAGTTAATATTTGTCTATCCAAAGCTGGACAGTCACAATAATCGGAAGTTTCCTCGCCTCAAAACAGAGTCGGCATTCCGACACTCCGATAATACCTATTCGGTGCCCAGTAGCAACCGATATTTATTAAAATGGTAGTGAAAGAGATTGGCCCGTCTATGGCCCCACCACCTGCCAGTACTTACTACGTTCAGAGTGTACTCACTCAGGAATTATTGTTCTCGAAAGGGACCAAATAAGACCACAGTACGGTTCCGATGCTAAGAAGGCAGTTAAGGATCCTTCTCGGTTAAATCATCAGTGTTAACAAGTTTCAATTTCATCGTCATGCTTGAGAGGGTCCAGATGGTTGTTTGGCTAGATAAAAAGTTAACTAGAAAGGCGCCCTATAAACTCGTTTAATTCGCTTCAACAAACCGTTCCCTTCGCCAAATTCATTCGCTTGGCCAAATTCATTCGCTTCGCAAGTGTAATACCACCATAAGTCTCTTATCTAGGGAAATACCTAGATACTTGACTCCGTTGGAGTATTAAATTACTGTGCCTCCAAGAGTGACCGAACCAAGGTTTGGTGAATACCTTGTTGTAAACGAGCTGCACTCGTAACGTCCGAGACAGTACTGCCGAATTTTCCCATAACTGTAATTCGTTGACATAACTAAACTCTTTTACTCAGTGTTTTTTTTGGGGGGGATCTACTTTCCAATCGGTCTTATATAATCTTGACCTTAAAACGCCTTATGCCGGTATATACAACTGAATTCTATATTAAATTGGCTTAACCGATTGTCGTGTTTGATCACAGATATGTATATATGTATGGATATTAGGGTGACCCACAAAAAAAGTTGCGGGTTTTCCACCGGAATTATAAAATTTGTTTTATTTGTAGACTTTTATCACAAACTTAAAAAAACACATATTAAGACTTTTGTGAGCTGGACCCAATGCATATTAAATAGGTAGTAGCATTAGAGCAAAAACAACATTCTCGTGTATGTTGTTGTTGCTTCTGGTATCGAAAGTGTTGCAAAAACTGTTCTGATTTTTTTCTTCTAAATCACAGCGTGCCATGTGAATACAAAAAAAATAATAAAAATACATAAATAAAAAAACTGTTGCAATTATCTTTCTTAGTAAAATTGTTTTTCTTCTCGAAGCATTGATCCATCCTTTGCAAGGCCCAGTAATCATCACTTGTGCTGCTGAGTTGGGCGAACGTTCCAAAGTTCCTATACAATGCCTTGTTTTGTATGGAAAAAGGGTTCACATGCAAATAAATTTTAACTATTTAGAATTTTTGTGAGAAGTTACAAATATTTGAAATTTTCGAGACCCAATAATTGGAAAAATATCAAATCAGCTGCTCTACTAATACTACCTGTTCAATGTGCCTTCGCTGGACCGATTTGAAATAATTTTTAATTTAATTTGTTTTTCTTTTGTTAAGTTCAATTTCTTATAATTCTTGCATTTGATTGTTTTAAAAAGAAAAATATATGTTTTATTACAATGCATTTTTGAGGGACTTATTTTATTTTTTCCTGTTTAATAAAAATTTAACTAAAATTATCTATTATTTTTTAGACTTTATTGTTTAAAATAGCAAAAAATTTTTTTATCTTCATCTAATTTTTTGAATTTTGTTTTATTTATTTCTTCCCATTTTAACTTAATTTGGTTTCCTTGTGTTAATTTCATTTTCTTTTAATATATATGGGTCATTCCATACATTACTAACACCTCAATCTTTTTTTGTGGTGAAATATATATATTTTTACATTCTTTATCGAAAAAAGAAGACACCTATTTTTTATTTCGTCATGATATTCGAAAATCTCGAAGAAAAAAATTCCCGAAATTACGAACTCACGGAGAAGTATCTTTTTTTAATTGTTTGCAGTTAATAAGCTATTTGTCGGAAAAATCAGTTAAGGTATCAACATATGCGCAATTACCTCGGCTTTCCATGAGAGTGTGTTATAGATTAAAATAAAGAAATTTTTGAATTAAAAATCGCATTTTTTGTTTTTTATTTTATTTTTTTATTAACTTCATCATGTTTGATTTTTATTTTTTTCAACATGAATGGTTGTCAAACTTTGTGGAGTAAGCTGTCAAAATTTGAGGATGGAAACACCAAAAACCGGCCAGGGTTGCCTCTTCTTAGAAATTTCACCCAACGGAGATGCCAGCTCGATGAGAAGTGCTCATGTCTTCAACATATTGTTTTAAAAAGAAAAATATATATATTTTTTAATTTCCTTTCATTAAAAAAAAAACTTGAAAAACTTGAGTAACTGGCCCAAAACTATTTTGATTTAGACTTATGAGGTCTCCGCGGAAAGTTATTTCTCAGTCTTTATGTCTGTACAAAAAAAAAATCATTCGAGTCCCATTTTTTTTCAAATGCCAACCCATCTTAATTCAACTTGGAATGACGCTCGTTCATCCTATCTTTCTCTTTCATCTTTTGGAAAAAGTTTATTAGCAAAGAAATAAAAAGGGTGAGAAAATACCTTTCCAATGATACCTGCTAAGTCTAAATCGGAGTTATTTAAGTTTTTCTTATACCAGTCTTTGAAAAAAGTTAAAAAACATCACCAAAAATTTCATTATTACGATACCATTGAACGAATTTAAAATTGTTTTTTTTTTTTTTTAAATATATTTATATAATAAATATTTTTTTTTAAATATTTGAGGGAATTTTTGAACAAAAAAATCTTTAAGAAGCTATTTTTATTCATAAAAAGCTCCATTTTTGGAGGTATGTTCAAATCGGTCCAGCTCATGTAAATCTTAATATTTTTCTGAAATATTTTGGTGGACGTCTTAAAATATAATAGATCTTATAATTCCAATGGAAAAAGAGTACCGATTTTTTTTTTGTATGGGTAGTGATACAGTCTAATGTACATGTATATTAACTGAATCAAAGGTTATAATAAATTAATTCAATATTAGGTTTTAATACATAATCAAAGGAATTAAATAAATTGCTAAAGAGGTCTTGAACCGTAAGCAAAATTATTTATTTGAAATAATTTTCACTTGCTCCCTATCGCAGTGCTCAAAATACAGGTTTTATCGACACTGCTTAAGGTCAAGTGCACTGATTTGATGGCGTTTTATTTTGTGTGCTGACTCAATGCTTTAAAAATAAAAGTCGCCTTTTCAAAACTCTTATCAGCTTATAACAAACAAGTTCATTTGAAAAAAAGAAGAGTAATAAACAAACAAATTTGCGATGAGGCGAAAATTGCACCCGTAATACTTTCGCTCAAATCAGTTCAAATAGCAAAAGCATTGCGGTATCATCGGAAGATGAATGAAAAGTGCCAGCGCAAAATTTTCGTTCTACTTTGTCTATTTTTAACACTTCAAGGCGTTCAATGCCACACCACGAGCGACGAAGCGAAAGTGCGCACGGGGCGGCAGGTTTCGCGCGTTTACCGCCTACAGCTGATCAATATGCTAAACATACTCGACGAGGACGCCGATCAGTGTGAAGATTTCTTTGCGCACGCCTGCGGTTACTTCGCCGAAGCAATGGGAGACGGTTTGCTGCTGAGTGGCGAGCAACAGTTCGATAGCGAGAGTGAAATTGAATTGACAACAGTGTCACCATTTCTGTACAACTATGAGGATCGCATGCACTTCTTTGAACGCAATAAAGCGAATTTTGTCACACCTTCTGGCCGGTTACTTAGCGCGCTCTATGCTGCTTGCAAGAAACGCAATCGCACGAAAGCGGACGCGCGCGGTTCATCGCTGATTCAATGGCGGCGCATGTTACGCGAAATTCCCTTTCTCGTGGAGAATGCACGCCTCTTCAGAGAATGGCCTCTGCTGCGGCATGAGTGGGCGGAGCTGGAAGCACAACAAGCTTACTTAGATTGGATGAAATTGGCTGCAGATTTTGCGGCACATGGCGTGTTAAATTTCGTGCGCGTCTTCTTTGCCGAGGGCACAGTTTTTATAGGGCCAGTGCGGGCGGAAGAGGATGTACGTTGCCCATCGCTAGATGAATGGCAAGCGAAATTGTTGCCCTTTCGCCGCAAGGGTAGCAAGCAGGCGACACAGGTGATCGTCAGCGAGTTGCGCACCTTTTGTCGTGACTTGATCGGTGAACTGCCACACGATTCCGAGCTGCATGTGGAAAGTACTGCATACGATTCGTTCTTTTCTGATGTACAAAGTAATTACTTTCAATTCATGTTCGATCGCCTGCAGCTCAGTGAGCAGGAAGTGGCGGATGCGCGCGTAATATTGATTGAAGAAGAACGCTTGCGCCAAATAGCTGCACTCGTACATACTACGCATCCAAGCATACTTTTTAACTTTGTGCTTTGGCAAGCCTACTCAACGTTGCAGTATGATGACTGCTTCTTGCTCACTGAAGAGTTTGAGGACTTGCTGTTGTCAGAGTACTGGAATTGGGATGTGTTTAGTGAGAGTTTTAGTCGCAAAGTCGCCTTGGCCACTTATTTATATCATACCACGCGTTTTCAAGAGCAGCGTCGTGTGGTGCTTATGGGCGAGAAGTGGGATCGCTTTTTGTATGCCAAGCTGCAGCGTAGTGACTTCAATTTGCCGCGTCTTCTTTCCACCTATGCCAAAACAAGCCTAGATCCATCCAATCTTACACACATCTATGAAGCCGATACATTCGTTGAAGGCGATTTCTATGGGAATTTACTCGCTTTCCGGCGTCGTCAGCTAAGGAATTCATTCTACACTGCCTTTATCGATACTGAAGACTACAATCACCCCATATACTTCCTGCGTCATTTTCTGCATTTCACCATTTTGACTTTGCAACGTCCGCTTTTCCACTATTTTGCTACGCTCGGTTTTGATCTGTGGCACAAACCGGACCTGCTCTACAACTCGGATGGCTACTATACGGCTTTGGATTGCCTGGAGCGTCAATCGCTGTTGAATTTCGGTGATGCGCCCGTCTTTCAGTTGCTGGACGACACACAAGTTGCTGAAGTTTTTCGATTTTATCGCGCCTTTGTTGAAACTTTCCGTGATTACAACTTCTGGCTAGAGGGCGAGTCATTTGCATTCGCGGAGGATCATGTATTGGAACATTTTCATCTGACGTCGAAGCGAATTCTATTCTATGCCGTGGCTCAGCAATATTGTGGACGAAATGACGCCTGGTATGGGCTGCTGATAAATCGGAGCTTCATGAATATGCCACAGTTTGAAGCAGCCTTCGAGTGTGATGCGGAGGCACCAATGAATCCGTTAGTCAAGTGCATGATCAATCACTGCGACTAATGTACTAAAGTTAGTACTAAGTACTATAAGGAAATTTATGTTTCGTAGCTTAAGTGATAACTGTTAGAGAGCGCACTTAGTCAAATTGGAGGATGATAAAAATAAAGTAGTGTACAATGAATACAATGAAAGGCGCTATATATGTATCTGGTTGATACGAGTACAAATCCTAAACGTATAACTCTAAACCAGCCGTGCCCAGCGCAGGGCACTTGCCTATTGAATTCTGCCAGCGCAGGGCACTTGCTTATGGAGTTCTGCCGGCGTTGGGCATGCCTGCTCTAAACTGTAAATGCACAGGTATGCCTATAACAAGAGACAGTGTGACCTGAAAGGTCTTTTGTATCTCTAAAAAGTGTCCCTAACCAAATAAGCCCAAGACATCATCGGCTTTCCTAATACATTCTAATAGAGCCTTGGTAGTTGAATTCCCCATTTTTAAGGGTCTGCAATCGGTGTTAGTTGTGGGCCGTTAGTTACCCGCAGTGTAGCCTAATTTCTTCTTCTTTATTGGGGCTATAACCGCCTAAGCGATTTTGAGCGAGTCCAACACAGCACGCTAGTCGTTTCTCTACTGGGCCAGGTGACGCCAATTGGAAATACCAAGCGAAACCACCTCCACCTGGTCTTTCCAACGCAGAGGAGGCCTTCGTCTTCCTCTCTTACAAGCATCGCGAACTGCGTTGAATACTTTCAGAGCTGGAACTTTTCTGTTCTTTCGAATGACATGACCTGGCCTAAATTTGCTTCATCATATGAAATTTCTTGAAAGTCTGGCTGCCCTGAGTCCAACTAACCAGTACCTGCCATTTTTTAACCTTCACGACGAATGGGTTCCTTATGCCACAATGGAGGTAAGTGAATGTCCGCTACATCACCAAGGTCGAGAGAAAAACCAGCAGACGAACCAAAGTCATGCCCACCCATCAGTCGTACATCTTTTCTACTAAAAGCCCTCTGCAAACAGTTAAAGAAATTGTAAACAACTCATCACAGCAAGCGATTCGTCTTTGAAAACAGTACCGCACAGTTTCAAGCTGACTGCTTGCGCAACGCCTTCAGCTTCGTCTTCGTCTTCGTTTGCACTGTGATCACTTTCACATGTTTACTACTGCTCTGATTTTCGTCTTCGGCTTCGGCTTCGTCTTCATCTTCATCTTCGGCTTCGCTTCCACTCGGTCTGCAACCTAAGTCTCAAAGGCTTAAAAAAAAAATTGATAAGGGTTTTCCATCGGAATTATAAAACTTATTATCTTTTAAGCCTTCTGACAAAATATTTTAGAAAAATATTAAGAATTACGTGAACTAGACTGAGTTTTTTTTTGTATAAACAAAACTAGCTTATTATTATTATTTTTTAAATACCTCAGATGTTAGAAGTGTTTAGACTTAAAAGTTCTGCAAAAAAATGTTATCGAAAGAATCAAAATAATGAGTTTTTTGTTGGTATTTTCGAACCAGATCAGGTCACCTAAATCTTAATACATATTTTTCCGAAATGTTTTTTCGGATGTATTAAAATAAGTGCAATAAATTGTGTAACTCCGGTGGAGAACTCGAAACGTTTTTTGTGAGACACCCTAATGTAAGTATATTCTCATGCATATTCATTGTTATACGTAATATTCACCTATCCATAGTCCAATTAAAACACTTTTATTGTTTTGCAAATTATCAATTTATTATTTTTCACTATTTATTCTTCGCAGTAGCATTTTCAAAGGTCAGTGATTTTGTTTAAATTTTGTATTTTCGCAATTTCTTAATCAACAATTCAAGCCTACAATATAAATTGAATGTAGTATTTGAGTTTTATGGTTTCTTATTTTTTATGCTCACTTTTTCACCTCTGTGTAGTATAAACTCATTTAGAAATACATTCAAATCTATTTTTGCGAAATATTTGTATCGCTTCTTAGTTTTCGCATTGAACTTTTTTTTTCTGATTATGTGTATGAACTATGTATGTTGTTGGTATATCTATTGCTTAATTTAGTGTATATATGTATATTTCGGGATTTGTGTCTGTGCAAATGTTTGCCTGCTTATTTTATTGTAAATAAATATAATATATATGCAATATACAGATGTACAGCTGTAGTCAAAATAACAGCACAGTCAAAAAATATAAATAAAATGTACATATGTATATAGTTTTCTTATTTGAGAAGTAGGATTTAATAAGATCTGGACATCAGAGCCGACTTTTGTTCTTTAAGTACCACACACTCGAGAAAGAGTCTTTGGAAAACAAAAAGGCGTCCTAGACTAGAACTTATAATTCCTTGTTCAAATGCAAATGAGTGCCACTAAGGGCCGGTTGCTCAAAGCCTGGTTGACACTAATCACCGGTTAACATCGTTATCGACGTTTTCGACTCCATACATATAATACGGTGTCGGTAACGGCGATAACGATGTTTAACCGGGGATTAGTGTCAACCAGGCTTTGAGCAACCGGCCCTTAGAAGAAGAAATGTTTCGGTAGATAAATTCTTGGTTTATCTTAATAGTACTAAAGAAGTTTCTAAATACAAAACGACAATATAAGCGAAGGATGTAAGAACTATCCATATCTCTTTTAAACATAGTCGACAACTAGGTCTTAACGCGAAACTAGGAAAAAATGATTATCCCAGCTGCTCAGACGTGATGCAATAGTGGAAAGTATTTGTCTTTCTATCTTATCTTTACGCATGTTTTTATGCTTTTGACTATTCCATATCATTATAAAGATCGTAGAGTTCATCATTAAATAATCTTTGGCACCCGTCGTCCATGCGGTAGAGTCCATAGATCTTGAGTAGAACTGTCGAAAAGCCTTATAATCTTAGCTCAACTATCCACATTTCTGCCGCTTATAAGAAGATTTGTATTATAAGAGATGGCACTACGTGCTCGTCTTTGTAACTGCTGGCTAATATTATTGTCGGTTGATTCCTCCGACAGGCTGTATGGATATGGTATAACTATGACTCAGATTATCACACAACTTTTCCATTGAGTTAACTTGTCCAAAACCTAGATTGGTCTCGAACGGATCGTACGAGTATGAAGTTTGCGAGGATCTTAGTAGCAGTTTTTGTTGATTTTCTTATCAAACGCCCTTGAAAATATGGTTCATGATGGGTTTACCAGATCTGGAGCTACGAATTTTGGTGTTGATTTGGCAAAGTACGCTTTTAGTCCAATCTCTAGGAGGGTACAATCTAAAGAGGTGGAGGCTACTCATAAAGCTCCCTAAGGATAGGCTAACAATTATTACATTTATTTGACGGGCCATTGTAGCCTAAGAGACAAGTTGTATATGATTTGGTCAAGCGACCTACATATGTCGCTTTTATGATTCCACCAAAGAGACAAATTTGTATCACCTCCCGGAGCATGATGCCGTTAAACGTCGAAGGTAAGGATGCATAGGACTTCTATGAACAAGAGAAGAGCACATACACTCCCTAACCCCGGAATCTACTGTGAAATTTATATAGTCTTTAGGGCTAGCTGTAGTGTTGTGATGAGCTGAGGACAAAATAGACCTACATACTGGTCGCAGTGCTTACTCTATTTACATCTATATATCTATAACCAAATCTCGCACAAGAACTGCAACATGCGTTCCAGCTTTGAACAGCTCAGTGAGCATCTTCATAAACTTAGGTAAGGTTAGGTAGTAGCTGCTTCATCCAGATTTTGGTTGAGCCACACTTCGGCCCGAAGGTCTCGTTGTGATACGGTTTTGGCTCGAAGTCTATCATGCTTTATTTCTGTTATAAGCAAAGAAAACTTTAACTCTACGCGCGACTAAATATTTGTTTTAAATGCTCGAAAAAGTTCTGCCCACAGTGCTCATAACTACCATATACCAGTCACGGGTCGTTACTCACGACTAAAACATGAGAGCTTTTTGAAGTGAAACTTCTTTAGCGGCGGTTGGTTGGTTGGTTGGTTGGGAGTAAATTGGCAAATTCAAAGGAAATTGCACACAGAAATGGTGCAATGGAAATGATGCAACGGAAATGGTGCAACGGAAATGGTTGGGGCTGAAACAGGTGCTTATTGAGTGTATGCACATGGTACTGATTTAACAAAAACTTGTCAATAAAAGGTTAAAGAATAACATTTAGAAAAAAAAACAATACCATAACGAAAGTAAAGATGAGTATCCACATAGATAAAGAAAAGGATAAAGGCAAAGGTAAAAAAAAAACAAAGATGCGTAAAGTTGAAGGCAAAAATGAAGGTCAAAGTAAATTTAAACACTTAATTTATATAAAGGCAAAGGTGAAGGGGAATATGTAGAAGAAGAAAATGATAAACATAAAAGTAAAAACCAAGATAAATATACAGAAAAACTGAGGATGAGGATACCGATAACAGTAAGATGAAGATAGAGGAAGAAAGATTAAAATGTAGCTAATTATAGAGAAAAGCATATATTTAGATGGAGACACAGAGACGCAATCTGTGAACTATTTTGTGATTTTAGAGATTTTCGAAGTTCTCAGTACTTCTCGATATAATAATGGATATTTTCAACGGTTTTGTTATAGATATTTTTATCGTTTTTGTTATCGAAGTTTGTATCTATATTGTTATCGATATCTCCGGAACTTATCGGTATGATAATCGAAATTTTTATCGATATTGTTATCGATTTAGCAATCGATATTTTTAACTATTTTGTTATCGATATTTTGGATCGATATTGTTATTGTTTTTGATATTTTTATAGAATTTGTTATCGATATATTTATCGATTTGGTTATCGATACTGTTATCGATTATTTATCGATTTTTTTATTGGTTATTTATCGAACTTGTCATCGTTTTTGTTCTCGATATTTTTATAGATTTTTGTTATCGATTTTAATATCGATTATTTATCGATATTTTTATCGATTTTCTAATCGATTTAACAACCAATATTATTATCGATTTTGCTATCGAAATTTTTATCGAATTTTTCATCGATTTTATTATCAATATTTGTATCGGTTTTGTTATCGATATTTTGTTGGATTTTACTATCGATTTCGTTATCGATAGAGTATAAAGATAAAAATGGAGATTAAGAAAAACGGAATATCATAAATGTAATTAGAACGAACAGGGGATCTAGATAGAAAAAAGAC